GTGGGTGGGCAGGGCGGTGAACGGGGGTGGTGGCCATGGCCCAGGCCAGCCCCTCACCCCCCCAGCTGCCTGCTGACTGGGCCTGTTCTCCCTCCAGTGCCTCCCAGATCAGCAGCCCATACCCACGGAGACCTTCCAGGTGGCTGATAGTCACCCCGAGGTGGCGCAGAGGGTGGAACCTGTAGGGCCACTGAAGACACCGTTGTTCCACTCCAAGTATCACTACCAGAAAGTGGTCGTCCACCGCATGCAGGCCAGCCATGGGGAGACCTTCCATGTGCTCTACCTAACCACAGGTGAGGGCTTCACGAAGGTGCAGTGAGCCTCGTAGTTAAGGTCTGGGTCTTCACACACAAAGGGGAGTCGACGCTGGGCCCTGGAGTGGACGGTGACATCGGGACTTGAGCATGTACCTGGGGGGACGGGCAGGGAGGGCTTCCTGGAGGAGGTGGGACAGAGGAAGAAGGGGAAGGTGTCCTAGGATGGAGGAAGGGAATGCTCTGGGCAGTGGGATTTGGAGGCGGAAATGAGAGGAGTCTGAGCACAGCGGGGCACAGCGTGGGGTCAGTATCTGACCCAGAAGAGGGTGGCAGGAAGAGCTGTGACAGTCAGGAGGGGCCTGGTCACCAGGATCCTGGGAGCCTCTGCGTCTTTGGGGTTTCCCAGGGGAGAGGACCATCTGAGAAGCTGGGAGCCGTGAGGGGCTCCAGATGGCGGGGCCCATGCAGAGGCTCGCAGAGGACCAGGGCAGCCTCTCCTCTTCCCTGGAAGGGGCTTCCTGGAGGAGGCTCGGTGGGACACCCTGGGAGGAGTCTGCCTGAGCTGGGTTTGCAGCTTCCTGTTCCCAGGCCATGGCCCCATGGGGGTGCTGGGAGGGGTCTTGAGAGCAGACTGAGCGATCTCGGCTGTCCGTGAGACTGGAAGGGCCCTCACGCATCTGGGCCTCCTGGTTCTGGCCTAGGCACTTGGGTGAGCACACCACCTCATGTGGTCTCCCACTGCCGTTTCACCTTGGGGAGCCCCAGGGTCACCTTCTGGTTTCAGGAAGCCTTGGGAGAGGACTTGCCCATGGGGCAGGGCCTGGTTCTTTTATCCCTCCACTCACCCCTGCTGACCAGGGGGCCCCTGTCCTTGCTCGGCTCCAGAGCACCTGGCTGAGGTGTTGGGGACGGCAGCGTGTGGGGAGCAGGGAGGAGAGGTCACAGTGCGGGCAGGGACAGGTGCCAGGACCGGGGGACCGTGGGAACCGTGGGCTTCCCTGTGCAGACTAAGGGGTGAGGCCTCGAGTGACTGGATATGCTGCCCCAGCTGTCCCTGAGGGCTGTTGGGAAGACATCGTTCTGGAGCCTGTGGCACTTGCAAATATTGGGGCCTGATAAAGAGTAGACCCCTCTGCGTTCTCTGTGTAGAGGGAGAGGGTCTTCTGGCTGGGAGCCGTCCCTGACTGCTTCTGACGATGCTGGCAGGAGGCGGTTTCCTGGGCACGTGGGGGAAGGTGCGGGGCAGGGTGTGCATGAAGGCGAGGCTGGGTGGCGTGGTGGACCAGGGGCCATCGGGCCATCTTGGGGCCTACAGCTGGGGGACGAGAAATACCTGCAGCAGGTGATCATCTGACTGCTTTTTTGGGGCAGGTGACACCCTGGATTGGGAGGTGGGGGTGGGCTATTCCTGAAACTGGGACACCAGAGGAGGTGGGATCGGGCAGGAATGGGGGTCATGGTGCCCCCTAGTAGTGCCTGGCAGGTGTAAATCGAGGGAGGCAGCCACCGGGTTGTGTGACCTTGGGCACCCTTGTGTGGAATCTAAGAGACCTGAACATCCGAGACTCTGTAAAACGGGAAATGTCTCTGAGGGCACATCGATACGCAGTCCAGGGCGGACCCAGGAACAGAGGGCATCAGTGGGGACACTGGTGAGGGCCCAGTGGTCTGTGGTGGTGACGCGTCACCTGCTTAGTCAGGACAACTGTGCCCACTTATGTAAGATGGCGAGGCTAGGGGAAGCTGGAAGAAGGGCAGATGGGGACGCCGTGTACTCTCTCTGACTTTCTGGAGATCTAAAATTATTCCAAAATAAAAAATTCATTGAAAGAAAGAGATCGCCTCGGAGTCCAGGAGGCAGGGCTCCCTAGGAGCTCAGGCTGGAGTAGACAGACCGGGACTGCACCTCGTCCACTGTACTGTCCGGGCTGTGTGCCCTCGATCAGCCACCTGGCTCTCCTGGCCACCTGCTTGTCTGCAGCGGGGAGGGGTGTGCCCGCCTGGCAGGCCGTGGGGACCAGGCGGGTGCCTGTAGGGTGAGCCCACACACTGGAGCCTGGGCCGCCCACTGCCATCCTCGACGCCACAGCCTGGTCACCCTGAGGAGCCAGCCTTGGAGACATCCCTCCCTGGTCACCCCCCCCCCAAGTCCCATGAGGCCCCCTGCCTGACTCCAGGCGGGCACCCCACCACTGACCCTCTGCCCACCACCACAGACAGGGGCACCATCCACAAGGTGGTGGAGTCGGGGGACCGGGACCGCGACGCCTTTAACGTCATGGAGATCCAGCCCTTCAGCCGGGCAGCCGCCATCCAGGCTCTGTCGCTGGACGCCGACCGGGTGAGTCTCCCTACCTGTCCCCGCCCTCCCAGAGCTCCCCGGCACCCAGCCGAGGACACCGTGCATTTGGTCTGCGCCTTCTTGTAGCCTCTGGCTACAGCCTGCTGTTCAGCGGGGCCTGCGCCTGGGGTCAGGACTCGGCATGGAGCTGGCCGGCCTGACCCAGCCTGTCTCCTTCCAGCGGAAGCTGTACGTGAGCTCTCAGTGGGAGGTCAGCCAGGTGCCCCTGTTCGGGGCGAGGTCTGTGGCGGGGCCTGCCACGGCTGCCTCATGTCGCGAGACCCCTACTGCGGCTGGGACCAGGGCCACTGCGTCTCCATCTACGGCTCCCATCGGTACTTCGACTGCGACCCTTGTCCCGGGAGAGGTGGACACGGGAGTGGGATGGTGTTGACGGGCTGGGCTGGTCCTCTTCCCTGCCAAGGCTGGGCTGGGGAGGACGGGCAGGGGCTGGCGCGCCGCCTCCCCCCTGCTGAGCTGCCCGCTCCTTCCAGCTCGAGGCCGGTGCTGCAGTCCATCAACCCAGACGAGCCCCACAAGGAGTGCCCCAACCCCAAACCAGGTACCTGCCGGGGCTGCGGTCCCAGAGGTCAGGCACAGCCGTGCCCCCATGGCTCCAGTCCGGGGGGCTGTGGCCTTGTCCTGAGAGCCCCTCGGTGGATGGGTAGTGATGAGAAGGGTCGGGATGAGGGCCGGGAGGGCTCGGAGGGCTGCGTCCCGTGTTCACGTGGACATGTGGGGAAGGCCACGGGCTCCACAGAGCCTCAGCCCCTCCTCACGGCACCTCCCCGCTGCTTCCTCAGACGAGGCTCCGCTGCAGAAGGTGTCGCTGGCCCGGAACTCTCGCTACTACCTGAGCTGCCCCGTGGAGTCCCGCCACGCCACCTACTCCTGGCGCCACGAGGAGAGCGTGGAGCAGAGCTGCGAGCCCGGCCACCAGAGCCCCAGCTGCATCCTGTTCATCGAGAACCTCACGGCCCGCCAGTACGGCCACTACCGCTGCGAGGCCCAGGAGGGCTCCTACCTCCGCGAGGCCCAGCACTGGCAGCTGCTGCCCGAGGACAGCGCCCTGGCTGAGCACCTGCTGGGCCGCGCCGGCACTCTGGCCGCCTTCCTCTGGCTGGGGGTCCTGCCCACGCTCGCTCTCGGCCTGCTGGTCCACTAGGGCCTCCCGAGCCGGGCCTGCCGTGGGCCCTGCGGCCAGGGCAACTGGGAGGTCTCGATTGGAACCGGCTGGCCCGGGGGCTCCTTGCTGCTGCTGCTTCCAGGGGGACAGACCACGGGCCAGGCCTGGAGATGTCCAGCCGCGGGCGGCTGCTGGGCCCTGGGGCCTGGGGGCAGTGGGGGCCAGAGAATGAGGGCTAGGGAGCCAGCGTGGAGCTGGGGCATCAGTGAGCCAAGACTTGCCCTTCTGGAGAATATTTTTCAAAAACTCTTCCTCGAACTTGACTGAGTGCAGTGAAGCTCCTGGCCCGAGAGCCCGTGGGCTGGGAGTGGGGTTTGGAAGGGGGAACTGAGGCCTCGTCCCTGGCGTCTGGGGCTGAGGCCTGAGTCCTCATGGACTCCACACCCAAATCGCCTCCTTCTGCCTCCCTCGCCCGGGCCGCGAGTGGCTGGTGTCCCTGCAGACCTGGGGCCGCCCTTCCTGCGACCTCACCTGCCCCGGGTCCCCCGGACAGCCGCCTTGCATGTTTATCGAAGGATGTTTGCTTTCCGGACGGAAGGACGGAAAAAGCTCTATTTTTATGTTAGGCTTATTTCATGTATAGCTACTTCCGACTGCATCTGTATGAAAATACCAAAACTACATGCTGGGGTGGGGGGAGAGGGGGGCTGGGAAGGGAGGGGTTGGGAGGGTGGGTCCCAGTGCGGGGCTCCGGGGTGGGTGAGAGTCCAGAGAGGACGTGGGTTCGTGGAGAGAGGCATGAGCTGGCTCTGCCCTGAGAGCCCAGTCCGCGGGGTCCTCGCCGGCGTCAGTAAGGCGGGGTGGCGAGGGAGACGGGAAGGACACGGAGCCCTAGTTTCACCGCGATCATTTCGAAGGAGGAGCCGGGTCCTCGGGGGGAGGTTCCAGGACTCAGCCCTTGGCGTTGGGGGTTGGGGGGCAGGGGGGTCTCCTCCCTTCCCTTCAGCCCCCTTCGCCAGGGGCTGTGCTTCCATGCTCCTGGCCTCCCACCTTCAGCTCAGGACATGCGCTATAACTTAGGCTAAACTGTGAAAATTTGGGTGGGGGCCGCCTCCCCAGCCCTGTCCGTGGATTTCAGCAGAGAGCCGGGCCCTCCTCTGGCCGTGTCTGGCCTCTGGGGCAGGGCCCGGGGCCAGCGGCCTTCCAGCTTCGGCCCCTGCCTCTCTTATGCACTTTAATAATGTAACATATTACTAATAAACGAGCTATTTATTTACCGGTGCCTGAGCCTTGCCTGCAAGCCGCCGTCCTGTCAGGGACCCGGTGCTCCTGCTCCTGCCTGTGCGCACTTCGAGAACACGTTCTCACAGGTTGTGGGTCACTGCCCTGGCCAGACTGGCTGGCTCAGGGGGCCTGGCTGCTGAGAGATAGGGGGCGGGGGGCGCTCTGAGGCCTAGCAGCTGGCACCCCTCCTTCCCCTTTCCAACCTCCACCACCCAGCACTTCCCCTGGGGGCCTCCTTCAAGGCACTGTTCTAGAAGGGAAAGTTGATCACATCAGGCCCCGGGCTGGCATTTTTTCTCCTCTCTTACCTCTCTGTCCCCTGCCCTTAGTGGCAGGGACTCAGACCTTTGGGGTTTTCTGGGAGTTTTTTTCTGAGCAGTAACTGCTAGAGCGGGGAACGGGGCAGGCCTGGGACAGTTCTTCCCCTCTGCCTCTGAGCTCAGCTTCTGGTTGGTCAGCCCCAGTAGGCCCCGAAGGGCAGGAATTGCCCCTGCCCCCTGCACTCCCCCCGCCCCCCGGGCTCTCCTGGGCCGCCCAGGGACCGAGAATTCTCCCTGGTTCTTTCGCCTCCCCACACTCAGCCTCCCAGGGGACCATGGCTGCAGCAGGTTCTCAGGGACAGGTGTCTCTGGGAGTTTGGAGGACCCAGAAGAACCCCAGGCTGGGGCAGAGTGGAGCTTCCATGCCTGTGGTCCTCACGAGTATGTGGAGGAGGCAAGGCCAGGCTGGGCAGGGGTCCTGTGGAGCCCTTCCTGCACACCCCGCCCTGACCCAGCTTGCCCGTTTTCCAGCTCACAGCTGAGCCTTGGCATCAGGGCAGGGGCTTCTCCGGCTCCCTGTCAGTGGGTCCTTGGCTGGTGGCAAAGCAAGGGCAGGAGAAGCAGGTCCCGGCCCTGGCTGAGAGGCACATCTGGTGGAGAAAGTGTAGACTCGTGCACTGGCTCCTCCTGGATTGCTGGGTGACCTCGGGGAGGCCCCTTTCCTCTCTGGACCCCAGCAACCCAGCCTCCCTCTTTTTTTTTTAGAACGCTCTTGGTGTCCTGGTGGGCCCAGAGGAGGGCACTGGAGTGAAGGAACACACTCCTTCATGTCTGGGGAGGCACCAAGAGAGGCCAGGCTGGGAGGGAAGCCATGTGCAATGAGGCATGAAATGAGCCGTCTGCAGACGGCCAGTGCGGGGCTACTGCCCTGTCCTCCCCACGAGCCTCCAGCAGGCAGTGGGTGGGTGGTACTATTAGGCTGGCACAGGTGTGCAAGATCTGCTCCAGGGACACCCACATCATCCACAGTGCCAACTTTGGCCTTGGAGGGCCAGGCTGGGTCAGGGCCCAGGCTGGGTCAGGATCCAGGCCTGCCCTCGGCTCTCCGTGCTGCACGTCCTCCTGGGAGGGAGGGCGCGAGACTTGACAGACCAAAGCTCAGCCCTCTGGGGGACACCAGCAGGGATCCAGAGACCCCATAAACCTAAAGGGCCACTGAGACTTATCCCAGCGCATGGCTGGGGAAGGCCAGTGCCTGCTCTGCCGTAGGAGCCCCCGGGACTGTTCTCCCTGCAGTCGGCACTCACAGCACACACTTCCCTGACAGAAGGAGTAGAGGTTTCTGTGACCTGGGATTCTCCAGACACCTCCTGGGCCCACCACCCTGATGCCCACCACCCTAAGTTGCAGGGAAAAGGGAGCCTTCGGAGGACACCCCTGAGCAGGTCCCGGGGGCGAAGGCACAGCCCCGGGCCTGGAGGCTCACAGCGTCCTGGGACTGGGCAGTCTGTGGTCATACGTTCGATGTTCTGGGCAGGTGGCAGGTGCTCAGAGGGGTACCTAACGCATGTAGGGGGATGCTCAGCGAGGGCTTTGTGTGGGCCATAGAGGAAGCATGGAAGTCCCCCAGGAGGAGAGTAGCTGGAAGAGGGAACTGCGTTTTCAAAGGCCCGGCTGGAGGAAAGTGAACTGATGGAGCCAGGGTCCTGCCCTCCTGCTCAGCTGCGTCCTTACGTTCCTGCTCGTTCCGTCTGAAGGAGTGACAACGGCGAAAGAAGGGAGAGTGTCTGGAGGCGACACTGGGCAACTCCGTCAGGGCTAGCTCCTGGAGCCAAGGCTCTAGATCTTTACCCTGTAGGTACTAGGGGCCTTCAGAGGGTGGTGAGCAGGGCTGGGTGGGCGAGGAGGGCAATGGAGGCCTGAGACCAAAATCACACCCTACCCCTGCCTGCCTCTCCCCTGCCCCCCACCCTCAGGAGTTTCTAGCTTCTTCCATGGCCCGATTTTAGCCTCTTTATCCCAGCTGTGGTGCCAGAGAGCAGGTCTGCGGACGTGGGCTGGCGCTGTGGCCAAAATGGCTAAATCGGGCTCAGGAAATACTTTGATGTTGGTTTTGGTTAGCTCCGGGAGGAAGAGACCTTGGGAAAAAACAAAAAGAAACCCCCACATTCTCAAGGTTGTGGGTGGCCATGAGCCAGCCTCCCGTCCCCAGTCCAGGGAAAAGAGCCTAGGGACACACCCTGTTAGCAGTCATGTCCTTCTTGGGAAAGGACTCAAACAAAACTGCTGGGCCCAGACCAGGTTGAGGACCCAGAGCTCAGACTGGCAGTCTTTCCAAATCAGGCAAAATGAATGGCTCAGAGGGAAGTGGATGGGGCCATCACAGGCTTGGGGTTAGGCCTATGACCTGATCCAGCTCAGCCCCTGCCCTCAGCAGACATTACTAATCAATTGTGGCATGCCTTTCTCCTGAACTCAGATGAGCAATTTCCTCTAGATCTGCTTTTTCTCAAGAGCTATTGGGCACTTAAGATGTGGCTCATCTGAATTGAAATCTTCTATAAATATAAAAGATACACTAAATTTCAAAAATGTACTAGGAACAAAAAGAATGTATCTCAAATTATTGTAGTGATTACACATTGAAATTATAATGCTTTGGATATATTGGGCTAAATAAAATACATTATAAAATTAATCTCATCGATTTCATTAACTTTAATGTAGCTACGAGGAAATTCAGAATTCTATGCGTAGCCCATGTTGTATTTCTATTGAACAGCACCGTTGTGTATCCACTCTGCGAGGGCAGAGGATTCTCATTTTTGGTGCACAGCCAAGTCCCTAGCACTTAGGGACTTCGGGCCTGGCTCACAGTAGATGCCCAATAAATTATCCGTGGGATTCTCATCAGCATTGCCCTTCAGGGACAGGCCACCAGATCAGACGGAGCATTGCAAGGGGACTTCAAAGACTTTGTGGGAAAATGGAACAAAGGCACTAAACTACAAGTTTCTTTTAGTACAAGAAGAAATTGAAATTGGTGGATAGGTTTTCCACAATATGTATTTTCCACGAACTTGAAGACCCTATGGATGTGGTCCCCGGGGGTCAGCAGAGTTCCACGCAGCACCACCATCCCCCCTCGGCATCCCGCATTGAGGCTTTGTGACTTCAGAGATGTGTCACCCTCTCAGGCAGGAGGGGCAGCTGAGGTGGACTGTGCTCTGCTGAGGGTCTTCTGAGAGGGGACTTTCGGTCTCCTTGGGTCTGGAACCAGCGGCATGCAAATAGCTCGGAAATCACCTCTCAAGGCGTTTGCATATCTCAGAGCTGGGGATGCTAGCAGTCTGCTTCCTGGCCCCAGCCCCAGGTCCCCAGGAGACCTTGAGCCCCATGGGGAGGAGCTGGGGGAAACCAAGAAACCAAGACCACCTTCGTCTTCCCCAGGGAACGTGGTCTCAACAAGGGCTTATAACCTGGAGTATCCTTGTCTCTCAAATGGGGCCTAAAAATAGCCCACAGCTACGGCCTCCCAGCAGCCGCCACCATCTCCTCCCGCAACCCCGACGTCTGAGCAATCTGTCCCAGCCGCAGACACTATCTCCATCCGGGACCCTGGGGACCCTCAGCTTGGCACTGCCTGCCGCCAGCCTGCCCAGGGTCTGATTGCTGCTCTGCCCTCCAAAGCCCGTGCTCTGTCTACTGAGGGAGCTTAGCCAGGCACGGCGGTGGGGCGAGGGTGTCCAGGCAGTGGGACTGGCCGGAGCAAGGTCACAGCCCGTGGACGGACAAGCTGGTGAGACGGGCTGGTGGTGCCAGGCATCGGCTGGGAGGCAGTGAGGCAGGTCTGTGGCTCCTGCCCTAGTGCATGAGTCCCCAGGGTGGAGGGGTCTCTGTCTGCCCATGGGGAGGGAGCAGGGCTGCCCCACTCTGGTATGATGGCCTGCAGGTGGGCTATTGCCATCAGTCTATACCTGGGTAGAGCCAGGAGGAAGTCAGGCCGGACCTGTGTTCCCATGCTGTGTCTGCCACACCTACTGTCTGGAAGCCCTGGCGCGTTCCTGTCCTTGGCCTTGGGTCCTGCCTGCTCGGCGCTGTAGGTAGACAGGCAAAGTCCCAGTGAGGCCCAGCAAGGGGAGGTCCTCACACATCTAGTGCCTCTGCAGCAGAGCTGTGACCAGCCTGGGGCCACTTCTCCCAGAGACTGCTCAGTCACTGTTGAGGGCATGTGCTCTGAGTCTGAGGCAGGCCAGGACTTTCTCTCGACCAAGAGAGGTGTGCAGGTGACACTGCTGACCCATGACGGTTTCCCGCTCTGAGCTGCACAGGTCCCAGCTGCAGGAAGTGGGGGCAGCAGAAGTCAGTCACCTTCCTGTCCTGGGGGCGGCTTTTTCCCCTGGGGGGAAGCTAGGGGGCAAATGGCAAGCTCACTGGGTAGGTCTTCCCACGGCTGCCACCAAGGCCTGCTCGCCCCTCCCTCGCGCTAGCCCACCGTGGCCCCATGGGCGCTCTGATGCTGTGGGCACTGTTGCCCCTGAGGACAGTCAGGGGCGAGGCCAGGCACACGAGCTTTGTGCTCAAGCCGCCTAGCCCTTCAGGGCCTGGCCTAGAACCTGGACCCCTGCACAACCTCCTCCCCCAAGGAAGCAGGGGCGGGAAATCTAGATGCTGCTTAGCTGAGGCAAAGGTGGTTTTCTCACCTCCGCCTGTTTCCCAGCAGAGACCTCCT